TAACCCTCCTCGCTTTGTGCATTTTTCAGCAGGTTTGCTGCCGCTGTGTGTGCTCTCTTTGATGTTTACAGATTTGTTTCTGTTAACTGCCACAGGTTTACACCATATGAATGGTATAACCCCCACCCCTGCAACCCAGACTCAGATGTGGTGGAAAACAATTTCACTTTACTAAATAGTTTCTGGTTTGGAGTTGGAGCTCTCATGCAGCAAGGTACACCGGTTACACTTCGTTGTCGCACACGTCCCACAGTCTGCTCAAGGGCTTCTGTGCTGGTAAACTCCACCCTCTGTAAATACAACATATACTGTAAAACCTGATCTCAGAAACTGAGCAATACAAGAAAGAAAGAAAATGATATGTCACTGCAACCGGGAGCAGTTAGAGGAGGGGAACCTGTGAAACCCAGAGCAGGGCTGCAGCAGGAGGAAGGAGGGGAAGCATCGGAGGGGAAGTAGCTTAGAGGAAGGGAAGCAAACTGAGCCACACGTGAGCTTCTGGAGCTGAAATGTAAATAATGGCAAGAGGGGTATGAAGTGCTCCATGCTAAAGTTGAGTTTATTGGTATAAGAGGTTTGGCAACAGGAAAATGTTGGTCTCCATCCCAATGGACACAGTAATAGCCTTAGCTACCCTAAAAAAAATATTTTAACTACCAAACAAAAAAAAGATGCTCTTTCTTCAGAAGGGAGGTTAAGTTTGTTGGCACTTGTCAAACACTTTGTTTAAAACCAAAACCAAACCTTTTTTTTTTTTATGGCTTTTCTGCAGGTATGAGTCCCATCCTTCTGTAAATGCCTCCAAGCGTAGAAGCATTAACTTAATCCAGGCACAAGTCCCTGTTGCTGATGATTTTGGAAACAGCTGACACTTTACTCAGTTGACAAGGAAGGGCAGTGGAGCTTACTCTATATGGGAAGTCAAACAGATATGTGTACTAAACACATTTGTCTATGGCATGTATATTCTAAGATGTCCAATTAAATCACTATTCACCAAAACTGGGGTCCACTGAAAAGAATTAAAATGTTTTCTGACAAACATTTCAAGTTGAATCAAAGCTGAACAAAAAACCCCAGCCCACGACAACAACCAAAAGGCAATTGAGAGGAAAGCCTAGAAGTACCTTGGCATTAAATTCCTAAACATTTAGTAAGGAGTATAAAACCATCTCTGCATTCATCCAGGTACAGTTCATTCTTCCCTCTTTAAAAGACATGAGTAACAGTAAAGAAATTATTAGGAGGATTTTTTCCTAGATATTGTAGAGAATAAAATTTGTATTTTACCTAAGATGCACTTGTTTTTACAGGTGCACTAGCGTGCTGACAGGATACAGAGCTTCCTCATTGAAATTATTTTGAAGGAGGCTTGGTGAAGGAAGAACTGTTCTGGTTTTTGATTTTTGTTTTGTTTTCCTTCCAACTTATCAGTAAAACACAGGCTTAGGTTTTACAGTATCAGGCAGGTGTGTGTATATAACTGTGATGACCCTGTGTGTGAAAGTGCCCTAGGATTTTGTGTTTCGGTGTACTGCCTTTTTTGGAGTTTACCATCATCCACAGCAAACTGTGGGATGCAGTGTCTGCTCGTTACCACTACCTTGGGTACATGACAGTCAGCCCCAACCAGACTCTGCCTGTCTTTCAAGAAGATTAAAAACAAAACAAAAGAAAGAAAGAAAGAAAGAAAGAAAGAAAGAAAGAAAGAAAAAACATTTGTAAGGCAACACAAATGTTTCCATGTACAAACTTGGGGTGCGTGTGACTGTAAGTGCATCATCATTAACGTGAAGAGTTCGAACATGACGTGAATGCTTGTGAAACTCTGCATCTACCGTTACGCTCTTTCTTGTTGGCAGCAGCTGCTTGTTTTGCTTGATTGGAAGCCACTTGTTATTAAATTTTAAAATGTGATGATCAGACTTTCTCTTTTCTACAGAGCGTGAGCAAAGTCTGGATCAGGATTGGCTGTCATGTCTGCCATAAAAAGGCACTAGAGAGACTTCAGCAAGTATTGTCTCTGACCCCGAGTCTTGCTAGCAACGTTTTTATTTACATATTCCTTCCCTTGTTTTTCCCCTGAAAGTCTCCAATGTGTTATGCATATTCTGAAAGCATCCAAACAGGGCATATTTCATTCAATCCATTCAGAGAAACTATTGCTTTCAGAAGGGCAAGCTATCCATCAGAGCCCCAGTTCAGCCAGGCAGTGGGTCACACCAGGACTATCTTGCTAAGGAGAGCTCTTAGGGTGATGTTGGGAAGCATGGAGCATATATTAATGCTTTTCGCTGGAACTGAAGCCCTCAAAAAGGTGAACATTGCAATAATCATGGGAGTGATGAAAAGAGATGCTGGTCCCACTTGGCTCAGCCGGGAGCAGAGTGTGCTCAGCACCTCACAAAAGCAAAACCGTAGCTCACTGCATAATTAATAAACCCTGGCATCTTGAGGTTAATTGAACTGAGTGTATTCTGCTGTTTTTTCACAAACAACTTTTTGCTAGAGGAAATCACAGGAGCTTTGACATCTCACCCCACAAGTTCAGCACACAGGGCTTCTCCACCTACTCTCTTGTGCTGCCATAAGGCTGCACTGGCAGATTTCATGGTTGCTTGTTAAGATATCTGCAAGGTATCTGGCTATTATGCATTACTGGGATGTATGTGTCAGAGCTAGGTATTACATCAGGGTCCAACTGTATAAATTGTATTTTTATAGCTGTCTAAGCTTTAAAAAAAATGCCTTCAGGATGACCTGAATCAGCACTCCTAGAAGTCAGCTTTTGCAGGTCTACCCCAGCTTAGAAACAAACACACATTTTTCCTTACAGCAACAACACAAAAAAGGAAAACATTTCATTGTACTGAAAAAAAACCTGAAAACCAGGACAGTACAACACACTACAGACATAAACCCAGATAAAGCTACAGCTCTTGAAATGGGTACATTTGGACTCAAAAATTTCAAGTGAGAGTTTTTGCTTTTAGACAGCTGGCATAATTAGAAATCCATGCAGCACAAGGGCTGCACAGGGCTGCACAGGCAAGAGCATCTGCTCTTGCAGTTTGGCAGTTCCGTCAACCTGCTCAAACCCTTGGGCTATGCTTAGCTTTGACCTTTAAGAGATATGTCTGTATGTTGCAAAGCTAAGTTATATCTGTTTGCTGATTGTTTGGAAAGTTTTTACATTTTTGGTCTCTGCCCCAAAAGTCACATTCAGAATTTTTGCTAAGGCTGGAAATATTCTTTGTAACACGTTTAGATTTCTTACAGAAATCATTAAATAGCTGTGGAGAGATAATATGTCAACACATTTTTCCAGTAATAGAAATATGTTTGTCACATCAAAAGCTTTACCTGCAGAGATCTGCATTCACAGGCACTTAAGTACTTTCTTAAGTCTATCAACAAAATTATTATTCAAAGACTTAGCTTTGAAGTCAAAAGTATTCAAGTGGCTGTCTTAAGTGCTTTGCTGAATCAGATCTTGGAATCCCACATAATGAGCTAGGTTCAGTGGGGAGGCCTCTACAAAAAACAGCACAAAACTTGTGTCAGGATGCTTAGAAATACAGGTACCTGTGTGGCTTAAATACAGTTTGCCTGAGCTGTTTAGAAGCCGTCTCAGCACATTTAACACCCACCCATGCTATTCTGTTGGGTTTTATGACAATGGCAGATTACTTTGATATTTCTGGTGTGACAGGCAGGCAGATCTAAAAACTTTTCAGCCATAATGAGTGCTGAGTACACTGTCAAAAACTTGGCATTGCCCTGTAGATCCAAAGGATACATCCATTCAGTCTCTGAATTTTGAAATGTAAACTATGTGTTTGTAATAAAACGTGTTCTGGATTTTGAACTCAAGTTCACACAGGCCAATGGGTTCAGTGGAACCGTATTGATCACCCTGTTTCTGCTTAGGTATGTTGATAGGATACACAGGGCAGGTTTCTCTTGTAAGGTATTTCTGTCAGGTACCTTGTAAGCAGAATAGCATTCTGCTAAAGATCTCTGGTTAAAAAATTGATTACAGTATACTGGCAAATAGGGATTCAGGAAATGGATAGAAATACTCGTAGAGCTTGCTGGGGCTGTAAGAAGTTGATATCGCAATGAGCATTAGCTCAGAGATGTCATGGGGCTTAGACCCAAGGATAATTCCATTTGTCATATATCATGGCATACATCCCCTTCACAGTGTGTTACCATTATAAATGTTAGCTGTGCATCTGTGAGATTATTGTTTAAATCATTTTATCATACTACAGATCATAAAAGCATTCTGTGCCTAAAAACAGTCTGTGGTATCAGGAAAAGCATCTTTCAGCATCATTTTAATATGATTGTTTTGATGATATTGTAACAGGATCAGAGTTGATGCCCAAAGCTCTTTCTACCAGAATAGTTGGAGGAATATGGTGGTTTTTCACCTTAATCATAATCTCATCTTATACTGCCAACCTGGCTGCCTTCCTGACTGTGGAGAGGATGGAATCCCCCATTGATTCAGCAGATGATTTGGCAAAGCAAACCAAGATAGAGTACGGGGCTGTTAGAGATGGATCCACAATGACCTTCTTCAAGGTAAGATGGTATCAGCCAGCTCTGTATGGTCAGACTGACTCATGGCCCTCCAGTGATAAATGGTGAGGCAGAATCACAACATATGAAAGGATGAGAGTAATAGATAAATATATCATCTGCCCAAATCCACAGAGGATCCTTCAGCAATATTAATGTAAAGGATGGGAGATTTTTTCCCGAAGACATATGGAGAAACAATCTGATGCTGTACTTCTATGAGGGGCAAACCCATGTCTTTGATGGGAGAATCTGAAGGAAACCAAGGCATGGGTGTGGGAACATTCTCCTCCAGGTTGTTTCCCAGGGCAGGATCTCTGTTTCTTACAGCCACTTGGTTGAGATCACTTCTAAAGATCACATTTGCACCAGAAGAATACTGCAGGCAGTCAAAATGCAAGATTTTTGTCCCTTTTTTAAAATGTTCCATAGTCAATATTACACAGGCTATTAATATACGGGCCACATACATGCATGAGCACATCCGTAAGTAAAAGATAAATTTCTGTGGCTAATTGTTTTGTAGGTAACAGCATTCTTTTTTTTTCCACTATTAATATTAATTACATACCAAATGGGTTAATCTCATAAAATGTCAGTGTGAAAGCCAACAAGCTATAAAAATAGGATATGCACACAAAAATCCTGTGACAACTAGAATTAATTAACAGCTTCATCAGTAGTCTCAGCAGTGAAGTTAAGCATTGAATTAACCGGTATCATGCTTTTCACTGTAGCATCTAAGAATGGTGTTTATAGTCAAATATGCAGTGCCTTTGAAAAGGATGAGACACTGTGGGGAAGCAGCCTGTCAGGCAAAATAACACTCGTGCCATGCACGAGCCTTCTCCCCCTCTGATCCAGCCTCAGCCCCCTGACCTGCGTTAACCACAAGCCCTTATACTTCCACATGAGGCAAAATGCTTATCCGCAAAAAGAATCTTGGCTAAAGGATTTGTGTCATCTCTCAAAACAAATAATGGTCATCAAGGATTTTTCAATCATGTAACAGATCTGATGGCAGGCTATCCCTGATGGAGCTGTCGAGGGTGAACTGCCCTTGTAATGGCTCTTCTGTGGCTGAATAGTAATGTTTCCGTGCTGAAAGAAACACACAAACTACAGTATTTTTCAGAGCCTCATTATAGTCAGCTCTTGAAATGATGAGCTGACATTTCCATTAAGACATGATGGGAAATCCATCCAGAGATATTCCTGGAAACTGCGTAAGGCAAGGACCAGACCCTCATCAGGTGCACAAGGCAGGAGGAAGCAGCTGTGCCACCTTCTGAAGGACTCTGGGAAACTCTCTTGATCTAAGAGCTCTTTACTGCCCAAAGACGGTCACTGTCGTTGCTATTCTGAAGTCATATTCAGCATCAGAGAGAAATCTTCAAAACCTCTTGCTTCCATGTTTTTTTCAGAGGAAATCACTTCAGAATTTCATCATGAGAAGTTCAGAAAAAGTTTCTAGTGCTGTTTCCAGCTTTACACTGATTTTCTTGCACCATTAATCACTGAAGTTAAAATTTGCAGGCTTAAAAGAATGTAAGCCTTCAAAAAAAAGTTTCAGGCAAGGTGATTAAATATTTGTATGCTACACATGCTAGCTTACTTGTGCCTAAAATACATGTGTACACAAACACAAGTGAAAGGACACATTTTTGTACGGAATGGAGATGGATTCTCTGGCAGAGTGAAGGTGACATAATGAAAGATCCATGAAAAATACAGTTTATCACACTTGTAAACTGGTGAGACACAGTCTTTTTATATATGTAAAAGGTGTTATTCTTTTTATTACAGAAGCCCTCCAAGATGCTCACAAGATTAGGATTTCTTTACGCTATCCAAAATTTAAAAACTAATCATAGAGTAGGTCTCTATGGAATAAATATAATAGGTACTTATGTATGCAAAAGGTAGACTCTGTGTTCTGTGAGGTGATGACTTTGCCTCCCTTGGACTGTAAAATGGTGCATATACTTCTGGAGCTAAGTAAGCAGACCCACACGCACCCCTAGCAGCAAGAGGCTGGGGAATTAGGAGAAGGCAGGAGTGAGGGTTTCTGGGCAGCAGTTAGATGTGCATTACAGTATAGTTTAAGAAAAAGCACCTTTGCCATAATGGTTCTAGAGAGGACACCTGAAATAACTGCCTCATTTTGGGGAGCTGTGAAGTCCTGACCCAGCCTGGACAGTTTTCCTCAGGCTGTCCCATGCCGTGACAGACCCTGGGAAGTCCCCAACGCCCAGGGGTGCCCCAGACAGACATGCCCCTGTGATTCGAGAGGTGGAGGAGCTGAGCTGGGACAAAAGGTGATTTTCATGCTGAGCAATCTGTGCTGCAGAGGCAGTCCCACCACCTGGGAGTGCTAGTGTGATGGGGACAGGGAAAGGGCAAGGAGGAATCAGCACAACCAGGTGCAGCAGCAGTAAAAATGTCCCGCAGGAGTGGAGGACAGGGCTGGGTTGCACTGAGGAAGGGTCATTATTTCATCATTTCAGGTGCTTCCTACGTTGCAAGATTCGATTTATCTAAGGGCTGTGCCCAGTACTTAAAACAAGAAATACCAAGAGAAACAGCAGACATGTTCAGACCAATACTTTTTAAAAGCAAAACCACGACACCCCAGGAAATTGTCAGTGTGGAAGAGAGAAGAACAAGAGAGTGCCTGTCATGTAGGACACAAGATGCAAGGACCAGATGGGTCTGATTTTCAGGTCTGTAAGAGACACACAGGGCAAAAAGGGGTTTCTGAAGACATCAAGTGCAGAAAAAGATCCTGGCACAAAGGAGACTCTAAAGGTTTAGGACTTTGTGCTTAAAGTAGCAGCAGGAAGCCCCTGAAAGACAGTATTACACAACGTACCTGCCAGATGGGATGCAGGTTGGGAACCATACAAGAAAAGCAAGGTACTCTGTTGCTTTTCTGAAAACTCTATTTGCATGTATTCAAGCATACATTGATTTTTGTTTAGTCTTGTTTATAATGTATATGCTCACCATTGTGATTTTCCACTAATTTTGAATGTCTTACACTAGTATTCCTGTTGTAATAGCATCCCCAGAAAAAAAAACTGTTGCTAAAGAGGCAATACTTTCAAGAAAGTTTCTGCAGTAGCTATGACTTCTAGCCAGGTAGTGGTGGGAATGAAAACAAAAGCAATTTAAATAACTTGGGGGGAAAAATTGAGTCCTGACTCTGAAGGAACCTCAGAGTCAGCCTCCTTCCCATACACAGATCCCAGATCTGTCCATACCAGATGGAAATACTCAGAAAACTGGGCCTGGACAGTTAAAGAGTGCTCCAGTGAGGGGATGGGGTTCTAGGCAGGTGAGCCAACAGGATCTCAGGCAGCATTCGCCATCTGCATGCATGTTCAAGTTTGGGAAAAGTCCAATTGAAGGCAAGATGTTCAATGTCCCCAAATCATTATACATGCATATTTCTCCAGACTGCTGTCCTGCTCTGTTTACAACCCATCTATAAATCTTCCATTGCTTTCTTGCCCCTCTGTGACAGTAGATTTAATTTCATGTTGCAATTCTTGCCGCCTTCTGATGCACAGATTTGTTTCCACTGAAATCAATGAGAATTCAAAGGCCAGAATTTGGCATAAGACCTATCCTGAAAAAAATGGGAGTTGGCAAGTCAAGAAGCTAAGATCTTTCTTTCAAACTTGTCTGAACAAGGAATACATACTTCCAGTAAATTCAGTATCAGATTCAATCTACTACATAAATTTGTCATCTATTACAAAAAATATTCCCAACTGAGCAATAAAAATGGTTTCTACTAGTAAAGAGCCACTTAAGCATCTTCAGAGTTTAGTGGTATCCTGTGGCTTACCAAACTTAGGTGGAATTTAGGTGACATTCACAGGTATTGTATTTACAGGTGAAGCATATTAACATTTAAAGCTCAGATAACCAGAAAATCAGCTTCTCACAGAAATCCCCCAGGCACTGCTGTTTAATAAGCACATATGGTCTCCAGGCAGTGCGCCTAAAATCAGCTATGGTGGCTATAAATCAAAGATAGGGCCCATGAAGGAAGTGAGGATATACTGCCCCGGAAGTGCGGAAACTTAAGCGTGTGGAGGATCTTCAACTTATGTTTACATTAAAAAGTTGGTTCGTATGTGTCTGGCTCACGCTTGGCTGCAGCACAGAGTAGTTTGACAATGGTTGGCTTTGCCATCTTAAGACAAAATTGTTCCTATTGACAGTTTCTAATGGTCCAGCTATCTGTAAGTCTACCTTGATATTTAATCCAAAAGTGACATTGTGTGCTCAGTGCTGTTTGAGCACACACAAGGAAGAGAGAGGTTTTGTCGTGTTAGTGCTGTGCGAGTGCTTGAAAGTTCTTAGGTTTGTAGGTAGCACATCCTGAAGGCAGCAGGCACAGGGCTGCAGCATGTCCTAGGCAGGTTCAGTTTTTCTTTTCATGTCCTCCAACAAAGGCAGAAGTCTGAGCAAGGAGGCACCGGCTCTGCCTTTCCCTGCGGGGTACCTGGGTCCCTCGGGGCTCCCACAGCACGGGGAAAGGAGCAAGGAGGAAGAGATGTTCAACACTGGATGGAGGTCACTGGGGCTTCTGGCATCCTTCTGCACTGTGCAGCTGGGCACGGGCACGGCACATTTACACACTCCTCCTGGCAAACTCAGTGAGAGAAGGATGAAGTCCTTAGGTCTGATCACAATGGAAAGCAGAAAGCAGAAGTTTCCTTAGAAGCCAGTTTGGGTTTGTTTCTTAAGCTTTATCCTTGAAGTACATGACTTCTCGGCAAGTACCACCAACACAAAAGAGCCAGCACTTTATACATTGTCAGGCTTTTGGAGTAGTGCCTTTGCCCTGACAGGCAGAAGCACTGCTTCTGAGTGCAACAGTATCCAGCTACACTAATTTAGCTGGGTTATGTTCTGTAATGCATGTAACAGCGTTAGCCCAAAAAACTTCAAAGCACATCACAGTCGTGCCAGTAATGAAGTTCCTGGTACTGCAAAGGAAGCAAAAAAAGAGATTTCTCAGCATAAAGCACAGTAAGACAGAAAGCCTGCAGGAAGGAAAATGCTGCTACTGATTCTCTTTCATTCAGGATGTGCTGTTGGCATCATTCACAACAAAAGGCTGGGGAATATTTTGCAAGTGTAATGTGGGTGCTGGTTGTGATTCTGCGCCCTTATTTTCCCTCCTCAGAAATCCAAAATATCAACATATGAGAAGATGTGGGCATTCATGAGCAGCAGGCAGCAGACAGCACTGGTGAAGAACAATGACGAGGGAATCCAGCGTGTGCTCACAACAGACTATGCACTGCTCATGGAGTCAACCAGCATAGAGTATGTGACTCAGAGAAACTGCAATCTCACCCAGATTGGAGGGCTCATCGATTCGAAAGGCTATGGCGTGGGAACCCCTATTGGTAAGATGTCTTCCAGCACGGGTGTTGTGGAGCATACCCAGCAATTTCCCCTTCATAAGTTTAGATGGCCATTTGAATCACGTTCTAGTCTTTTAGAAACCTTTCTCATAAAAACAGACTTTAGGAGCTACTTTTGAGGCAAAACATCTCCTCTTGCTTCTGCTCATCTAAAAGCAGTTTCTGTGCGCAAGAAGGAGTATAGCAGTACAGCCTACAGCTGCAGAACAAGGTCGAGTGACCTGCTTGCCTTTTGGAGCATCCCATACATAATGAACTGGGTATCCTTTGTGCTGCCCAAGGCACAAGTCACTCTACTGAAGTTCAGTTTACTTTGAGAAATCAGGTAGCGTCTCTGGGAAAATTGAAGTGGGCAGGATAAAGGTTATGTCCAACACATGCATCTCAAAGAAAGCTGCATGAAAAGAGATGAATTTCTGATCTATTTAATGACCTCAGATCAACACATAAGAACATCAAGAAGCAGTTGCAAGGTTCTGCATCAGGGATTTCAGTGTTGAGTTAATCAGAGTCTTAAGACTCCCAGTCTCTGTGAACTCTTTCCAGTAGACCTTTTTTAGCATATCCAGTGTCCTTTTTGAGATTTTTTTAATTTCAGAGAATAGTGTCAGTTTTTTGTGCTGGGTTCTTGTGAATAATTGGTACTGGGCAGCCAAATCGTTTTCCTGTGTAATATACTTCTCCATACTGCTTACATACGCATTTACCATGCCATGCTCAGCTAATAGCTATGCAATTTTATTGTCTTCATAGGAGTTATTCAAGGCAATATCAGTTTACACATATGTAACAGGTGAAGTATTTGGTCTGTTGATTGCTTGGTAGACCAGATATACATCAGAGAGAAGCACCACTGCACTTTGAACTTTGATTATCTATGCTACCAAGTACCTCAGACAAATTGCCATATAGATAACATTTTAAGTATATTTTTCCACTGGCTATGTGAGAATAACCATCTTACCCTGAGAACAATGATACAAAAGCTAAAATCCCGAAGACAAATGTATGGCAAGAGTTTAATTGCATTTATAAAACTGCCACACTTTAAACCAAGAACAATGAAGGAATAATTGGAACAGATGGTAATCCTCAGAGAGAGTGCATCCATTGGAAATACAGCTGTGAAATATATTTATAAGATGTTTCTTGTATGATAAATGTGCCTTAGTTTTTTTTCTTAGAGAAAACCAGCAAGATTCAGAGCAATAGATAACTCCAAGCACTGTGGAATAATTCAGTGCCATCAGGCATCTTCAATTTTTAGAAGATTGATTTCATAAACAAGATAAGCCATGGAGACACTTCCACTATTCTGATGAACCCCAAAGGCTCTGTTTTTTTTTTTTCCATAGTTTTCAAAACTATTGATTGCAGAAGCTGTACAGAAAAAGAAAAACCCAACTTGTCCAACCCTTAACACCAAAGTTTCAGCAAGTTTTAACTGGCCTGCATTAGTTCCTTCAGGAGAATGCACATTGACGTGGCTAGGGTTTGCAGCAACAAAAGTATGCCTCACACTCCAAAATTTCTGGTGAATGAGCTGAATACCATCACCACTTGGCTCCCAAAGAAACAGGAAGAAGAATTTTTGAAAGTTCTTCTATGAACCCTGGAAATGTAGTATTTTATTCATCAGAGCAATTTCTGGAAATAAAAAACTGCAGATACAGTCTCTCCTCCTACTTCTTTGTGCTGAGTTAGGTTAAAGGACATCTAGGCATATCAGCAAACATTTCCATTTATGTTTATTATGCAGCTGATGGATCACAAAGAGGAGGGTTTTCATCAGATTCTTGGCAAAGACGATTACTAGTAAAAAATCTGCAGCAATGGTTGGTGGGGAACTTAATGCACTCTGGTACTGCTGCAGCAAAAGCACCTCTAAGAAAAACCTGTGCAAAATGTCACCCTGGGAGGAATCTGGTTGAAGAAAGCAATATTAGGTGTCAGGACAGGTATTAATTCCAGTATCACTGCCAGTGCTGATGCTGGTAATTCTAACACTAAAGCTATTACCAGTTACTTGGGAGACCACTAAGAATGTAGATAGATGCATTTCTTGGCCTGAGAGGTAGATTGTTAATAGCTCAGAGGCCATAAATGAGCTGCTGAATATTCAAAGAGGTGCTGAGATGGATTTGTGTGCGGTTTTAGTGCTCACCAATAAAACTTCACCAATTCAACATTTCAGGCACACTTGACAAACTTCAAAAGCATGTGTAAAAAATATAGATGTACCTGTTACCCTCAAGATGAATTGTGATGATCCGGCTGGCAACACAAACATCACAAGAAAGAATGAACATCCCCACAAATCCTGTGCTGTGACTCAGGCTGCTTCACTTTACCTAACAGCTATCTCCTTTCAGACAAGGGAAAACAGATGATTCCTACAATCTAACATACTCTAGCTATCAGGATGAGGAGCCTCTCCTGAGATAGAAACAATTCTGCTCTTTCTTCTGAGAGGCATTGCTGTTTTCAGTTGTAATAATTCACTTCTCTATTTAAAGTCAATTTTGAAGAAGTTTCTGTTTTGTTTTTGTTTTCTATGGAACTTATTTTTGATTCTTTAATAGCATGCATAGCAATCATCTATTCTTACAGCAGGCGTGTTTTCCTTTCAAAGCTGGCTACCTCAAGCAGTGGCTGCTGATTGCTGGCTTCCCAGATGGACTTTGTATAATCTGACACATGTCTCTTGGCATCTGTGGTCACAGCATGTCCTAGTGCTGGCAATAAGATACACAGAAAAATAGCTGAGTGTTGGCACAACAAATGAAGAACTGCAATGTTTTTCACACTGATTTTCCTCAGACAATGCTGCAGGCTGAAGGAAATTAAAAGCACAGAGAGGGACTTGTATTCATGGTACAATTATTTTTAATAATTTCCTGCATGGCAGTATAAGAAGACTGAAGCTGTGAGGCCAAATTTCCAAGGCTATTTAGATGAATAAAGACACAAAAGTGGTGCCTAGTGAGATTTTCTTAAGTATCCGCATCTATGTGCTCCATGCTATCACTGAAATTCTGGCACACCTTCTGCCTTAAAGTTTGTTTACGTTGATCACCCTGAGAATTGCAACTGCTTTAATTTGCAGCAAAATGTGACTTTTGGTGAAACTACAGCTTAAGAAAATAGTTTTATTCCTGTGCTAGAGGAGAGGAAAGGATTGCTGGTAGTTAGCCATGTGGACAAAGGACTAGCAACGCTGACCATGTCGCAGCCCAGACACGAAACACCTCCAGCTGTAGGAAGCCCAATGTGGCAGGCTTTGGGGTTACATATATGCCTTTAGAGCCAAACAGCCTTTCTTGTAACCCTCTCCTGCTTGCCATCATATAATTCTTACCCCATAAAGAAAAATCTCTCTCACAATTCCAAAACCACCTTCTGCTTGGCTATGAGAATTAATAAGAGGATGGCTGCAATTATTGTTGATAGTTTCAGCTTCTGGCAGCATGGGAAAAGGTAACTGGTAGCATTTTCCTTTAACTAAGTGTTGCTCAAGAAGGGGTGAGGGGCAGGCCTCTCCCTTGTCCCCCTTTAGGGCTACAGACTTGTGCTTCTCCAACAGCACAAGCTGGCTGAAGGGACTTACAGGTGGCAGAGATTTTGAAAGACGGAGAGCCAGAGCAGAGTGTGTGAGAGGCAAACCTAAACAGACTGGACTGCCCAACATGACCCCACTGTTTGGCAGATACTGCACAGGCCCATTAATGCTGCTGAGCCTGAAGACACATCATTTAGCAAGCTGTTGGCCTGAAAATAAAAAGCATGAAAATGGTAGCTATTTTCAGCTTGCAGTGCCTGTATTGTTGCAAGTCATGGAAAAAAAGGACTGGGCCGCTGTGTGTTCTTCTAAGCTGTAAGGTAGCTGAAGTGGAGTTGTGGGCTTACGCAGGTATAACTGCGAAGAAAATGGATCTGACTAACTTCTTAGACAGCTACTCATTTTACATGCAATAGGAGAAATAAACAGATGTTGAAGTAAATAGAAGAGATGCAGAGCAGAAAGTCTCAAAGGATGCTCAAAGCAATATTCCAACATGATATGGAGGAATTACTTAGCAAGAAAACCCACTGCCAAGGCTTAAATAAATCTCAGTAGGAGACCCTAGAAATGATAATGAATTCTCGAACAAATAACTCCACCAAAGGAGCCTTCTGCTTTCCAGTCCCCAGGGCAGACACCAGCAGATAGTTCTCTTCCCCCTTCCAGCTGACAAGAAACCAACACTTTCTATGAATAATCAGTCTTGTGATAAGGGAGCACTTTGCTTCAGATTGCACCAGCTTGCTCCCTCCCTGCCTTCACTTTGCTGCAACCAGCACTGATGGGTCTTGCTCTCACCTTGCAGGGTCTCCTTACAGAGACAAGATCACCATCGCCATCCTCCAGCTCCAGGAGGAGGGAAAGCTGCACATGATGAAGGAAAAGTGGTGGCGAGGCAACGGCTGCCCTGAGGAGGACAGCAAAGAAGCCAGTGCTCTCGGGGTGGAGAATATTGGGGGCATCTTCATAGTGCTTGCTGCAGGGCTTGTTCTTTCGGTGTTTGTAGCCATTGGTGAATTTATATATAAATCAAGGAAAAACAGCGATATTGAGCAGGTGAGTCATCATTTCCAGCTTGCTTATGTTTCTGGGAGGCTGAGGTTTGTAGATATGGGGGTTGCTGCATTATAAGTCCCTGTTGGAATGCAGATTTTATATTGCTGAACTCTCACCATGCATCTCTGGCACTAAGGACAAATAATTTATTAATAAGAACAGGGAAGTACCTCACCCACAGTCCAATTAGTGTTGTTTAGTATGGCAGTGTAGAACAAGAGCAATTAATGTCTCAAACAGTTTCTGCTTGATCTTTAAGACCTCAAGTATAAATTATGTTGGAAAGGAATAAAACACAACTGCATTTTTTTAAAATGGCATTAGCATCAGCCCTTTGAGTAGCAACAGGAATGTACTTCTAAATCCCCAAGTGTAATTTTTCTCTTGCTCTAGAAAGTGGGGTTTTTTTTCACAAACAGGGGTTTACAGACTGTGCTGAGGCACACACTTCAAAGCAGGGAGACCTACTGAAAGGTGATGGATGCCACAGTAAAGTAAGATTATGGAGCCAAAGAAATTCTAGTTATAGCTCCACTGAAGCGTAATGAGGAATTTAAAAGGGCAGAGGGAAAAGAAAGGAAATGCTGTGTATAAATCGTGCCTTGAGTATTAGAGCAGCTTGTGAGATAGAATCAATCATTAAAATAGAGTGTAAACACCCGTTTACTGAACCACCAGCTGCTGTAAAAGAAACAAGGCATGAGCAGCAACTCGGAGTCTATTTGTGAAGTTGTCTGCCAACCCGCTGACTCTGGCTGCCTTCCCTGGTGCTGGTCTGGTTCTGGCCAACTCCTAGACCCTGACATGCCCCTCTTTGGCTCAACTGCTATAGCTGCTCTGATCCTATTCACTTCAGCAGCACTTACTGTAGGGATGAGGGTCACATTGCACTGCAGGATGGGTGGCCCCTGAGGAAATTGCCAAGGGGCGAGTTCATATCACCTAACTAGTTAGTTTCTAGACAGGAGGCATCTACTTCTGAGTGAGTTGTTTAAGCTCCCTTTTCACTTTTAGATGGGAAAGGAGGAGCTTTTCCATGGGCAATTCATCCTCTTCATCCAAGGTGTAGTCATGCAGTGTTGATGACACTGCATACTGCAGTGATGCTGGGATGCGAGAGGGATTGGCACCTGAGTGAAAACAAGCAGCCAGGGCTGCAGGCCTCAAGAGGACAACATCTGGTTTTGGATAGGATAAATCACCTGTATCGCCAGTAAGGTATCACCGTAAGCCTCCTGCTCAGACAGCTGAAAGAAAGTGAGCTGAATCCTACCATGAACCTTCCTTTTCCAATGACACTTGGTGTTATTTTGGGTCCATGACACCTAATGCCAGTGTCGGTGGACTTGGTCCTCACAGTATCGTGCAGGAGAGGGCAGCTCCTAACCACACAGACATCTCCACATGTGCCTGAGCAAACCCTCGTTAAAGGTAACGTCACTGTCTACAAACAACAGATGCAGCTCATGTGGAGCAATTTTTCAGGCCATATTAATCAGTTTCCCTGTTTTGGAATAAGTCAGAGATAAAGGATGAATGTGTTTTGCACATATTGCAGCTTTCTGGTTAGTACTTTAACCCTATAAAAGAGTTTTAGCACAAAATGCATAAAGAATGTTTCAATATCTTTGCTTTCATTCGTGTCTCAGGAGTTCTTTCATTCAAAAATGTTTTGGAGAACAGCTACAGCTAATTAAAATGTTTAGTATAAATGCTAATATGGCGTAGAATATCCTGGAAACTCTTCAGGTGTCTGGGAAAGGCAGTGCATTCCTGAAGTCATAATTAATATAGACCTAAAGCTTTATGTCATGAGGGAGTCTTAACTTACTTAGCAATATGTTGGGTGAATAACATAGTATTCAGGGATATATATACACACACACACACATTATATATACATGTATACCATTTCTGAAACTGTACTACTGTTTTACAGCAATGTGTTGCTTATTATAGGCAGTCTCTTAATAATTAAAATATTGAAGTGAGTTAATGTGGCAACATCATACTTCTTTTCCAGAAGTAATTTTACAGAAAGTAGAATACCAGAGATTCCAGAGTTACTTTCTGATTTCCCTCGGTTTGTTTTATTTTGATTCTGGTGAAATAAGAAGCTTAGATGGAAAATGCTTTACAGTGTATGTTATCACTAAGCTAATCCAAAGCCTGAGTCGAATACAGTCTATGACTTTTCTGTTTCCATAGATATTATCTCTTTTTATTTAAATATCTTTCAGATTTCATTCTCATGTTTGTTTTTAATTTTACTTCTTTCATTTATGTATTTTCTCCATTTTTCTTTTCTTGCATGCAAGGCCTTTTGTTTCTTTTACGGACTACAGTGTAAGCAAACCCATCCGTCCAACTCCACCTCTGGCACCACCTTATCTACGGAGTTAGACTGTGGCAAGTTAATCCGAGAGGAGCGAGGGATTCGAGCGCAGCCCTCAATTCACACTGTATAGTCAGGAAAGAAAAAAGGTGTGTCCGATGGAAAGCATTAAACTTAAACAGTGCACATAATGGCAAAGGTTGTACTCACCAACACGTAGTTAATGACTTCAAAGTGCCTCTTTTTTGAGCTTGTCTAATGCAAATTGACAAAGTCCTGGAAATTTGGGCAGTTTAAATGCATATCACAGAAAATAATTACACCTACAGCGAAGAGTGAGTGCAATAGACTGTAGCAGTTTTTAAGAAATATCACAATCTCTATTGTACAATTGTCATCTTGTAATTTCATGGGGTAATTCACCTTTTTCAGGTAAGAAAAATTATTTACCTCCTTTTCATCTCCTACCAAACCTGAGTAAACCAATGACAGTCTCATTACTACAAGCGTGGAGAAATATTTTGCTTGGTCTCAGACAAAGCATTCAGCAAGTGGGCCAGGCAGTTCTTTATAAACCTCAGAAAATAATCTGCAGGGCTCCATTAACTTTCTGAACCCCCATTATAAGCAGACAGAGATTTTTAGCTAGAATATCTTACTCCCAGTGTCAATATTTAATTAATTTTAATTCATCCATTTAAAATTCATTAGCCAAAGCCTCCAAGTAACTATCATAGCACAAAATCATATATATCTGTTAAATTTTATGCCATGTAACCATTAAAATTTAAGAACATATTCAACAAAAGCACCCTCGGGAACCCCCAGTATATACCTTTCACAGAAAAACTCTGTTGACTTGGCTCGAGCAATTCATGATGTTCACTATTGTAAGGCTTTGTAACATAGAAAACTCCTTTGTGACAATATCAAACAGTAAAGCCTTGGCATTGCTTTGCAGATTGAAACTCACAAGGAAACGTTTGTGTAGGAGGTTAGTACTGGATGTTTTTTATACCCTGGAAGGAAAATAGTTTTATTTCCTCCAGTCCTCAGCTGGTCTGGGGACTGACAGAGCAGGAGACAATGGACCGGATCTGTTGTTGCCATCAAAAAACATCTGACAACAATTTGAGACACACAAAATGTATAGAAATGACAGCTCATAGGACATCATGAACCATGGCAAACAACTATGTTTTCAGAACCTGATTACCTTTTATCTGTTTTTCATTATATCCCAACTTACCACCAGTTTCACCAGTTCATTTCCCACCCCTCACACCTACGGTATGTTTTCTGGCCCAGTGCAGTTCCTCCTCAACAAACAAGGTAATGATCTCTTTTATTGAGGGGCCATTTCTGGACTCTGCTGCAATGAGAAAATTCTTCTGTGCCATTGCTCGTCTGTGTACATGGGTATTTATGCTCCTCTCCAGACGCTGCAAGAAATTGTCTTGCTCAAAATGGCGTTTAACTTGTTTGAATGAGGCCTTGAAAGCTTTGGTTCTTCATAAAATGAGCTTTCTTACTAGCAAAGACCTGAATTAGATCCTCTGTATCCCTGATTTAAGAAAGCACATTTGTTTGCAGTTTCCCAGTAGAAGAGACTTAAAACTAATTAAATTCAGCTTCTCTCAACTCTCAGAGGAGAAGGAAAATTCCTAATGTGTTTATCTCCATCATTGCTCTGCACAAGAAATCCTCCAGGTTGCAGCTTTGACTAGTTTTCTAATAGCTTTTTAGATGAATGCAGAACCCTGAAATTTTCTGTCATTTTTGGGGTAAACATTTTCATATCTGTCAAAGAAACAGTAGTCATTTCTCTGTGTCTAGCTGTCCCCACAGACAACCTCACAGGCTTTGGCTTGCCTGTGGGAATTACAAAGCAGCTCCTCCTTTCCCTAAAGGAGCTTCATACCTAGCTACAAAAAGAGTTATTAAAAAGCCTTACTTGCTCCTTAGCAGTTATGCCAGCAGCGGAGGCAGTGAAGAGTCAGCATGCCACCCAAGTGCTAGCAAATCTGTGCTTGTAAAGGCAGATTTTGCAAGGTTTGCTGTGGCTCCAGGAAAAGGCAGTTGCCTTCAGGTTAACAGCAAGGATTGAGGAAGGCACATCTCCCACTGAAGTACATGGCACATGGGAGGACTCTTGCATAGACATAACAAGCTTCAAGAGGAAATGTTAAAACATTCAAAGATTTTTCCACTTATTAGCTTCTATGACCAGCATACTTTGAAATTTGGCCACAAAAAAGGTACTCTGTTTGCAAATACAGATGGTCACCATTGCATCTTCCTAACTTGCAGCCTTGTAACAGCATCCAGGGCCTAATTATCAAGCCAGATCCTTTCTCAGGTGTGTGTCAGCACAGGGACCTTGCTGTGCAATCAGCAGAGGGCCAACAACTCTGCCTGTGATAGGTAAACCACAACATAGTCCATCAGACTGGCACTGCATTACCAAAGTAAAGCATAGCCAGAGCTTTTTGGCAGAAAAAATGGCTGTAAGCATACCCCTATGTCATTTTATATTAATTTTTGTTTTGCTGCTGCTGCTGCATTTTACTCAGAACTCCAAAAATATTAAAATTAGTAAGTGTTTGCAAAAAATGTCATATGCTTTGACACACAAAAGTTACCTACTGTTGAAAGCAAAGGGCCC